TTTATAAAMGAATATAATACTTTTAGTGCTGTAAAGAGAGTTTACACTAGTGTATATTTTATTTAAGATTTAATTTAAATATAGTTTTTAGCCCAAAAGCATAAGTTGTCTTTACAAGCCTTTAAAGGGGCAATATTATGTGCTTTCCAAGCCTATATTTCAATTTTTTACTAAAATAAAGTAACTAAGTCACATTTTCAGCTTTTGAAAGAGCTGTATATTTGTAAAAATACCCAAAACAATTTACTTCTCATCTTCACAGTTTCTAAATGCCTTGAAATAGGTCTCTGTCTCTTTAAGAAAATCCAGCCACTTCAGTCACGTCCATTCCAGCACGTAGCCTGCCGGAGTCGCGGGGCGGGGGGTCGCGCGTGTCGTGATGCAGTTTACTTGGCATCTGAAAATACATTTCCTCAAAGGTATTTTGAATCTGAAAAGAACTTCACTGAATGAGAAGTAGGAGCTCAGCAGACAGTAAGTTTCACTTTCACTTTCACTCATTTGCTTTGTTACTGCCGAGAGCCTGCAGGAGTCATGGGCGTGGTGTGTGGTGTGGGGAGGTGTGCMCCGTGATGAGGAAGCTCGGCTTAAAGACACGTCCCAGGGGCGTTTCTGGTCCCAAAAGGCGTTTCTGGTKCCCACCTGTCGTTCTGCTCCTCAGCATGGCTTCCTAAAAACGATGCAGGATTTCTCAAACATGCATGAATGAGTCAAAGCAAGGCTTTGGGCGTGTTTTTTATGAGAGTATAACATTATAACATGATATAACACTCAAAAAAGTTGATTTTACATGCTATTACCCCTTTTAAACAATGAATTTTTTTTTACCTAAACCCACAATGCTTATAGAGGAAAAATTCTTTCCAAACAAAGTCTGCATTGATGGTATTGTTGTGACATTTGCAGCYAGTGCAGCACCTATTTAGTGTCCAAAAAGAAACTTGCAGGTCTGATTCCCTCTCCCTCCCTTCATTAGGAGTCCTCTGACAGTCAGGACTGTGACATATTGGGAGTTAAACTGGCTGATTTCCTGTAGGCTCCTGACACACATCATGGATGGAATGTTGAGAGCTGAGCAGGATGATTTTTTTTTGGTCCATTTTGGTCCAGCTTGTTATAAATGTAGACAGTGCAGTTTTGTAATTWTTTAACAAACCTTTTGTGGAAATCTCTGACATCTCAGTATTTTTGGAATACGGAAGTAATCCAGTGCAAGGTCTCGTGATGATTGACATTTCAGAGCTACTGTCAGATATCAAGTATGGTAAATGGACTGTACTTGTATAGCCTTGTACTTGTAGCACATTTCTATCCAACCAGGGTAGTCAAAGCTCTTCACACAGTCTGTGTCCTCATCTACCCATTCAWAGCACTCTATTAGATCTCTACAAAGCTAACATATACAATCTATTTATGGAGACTAATKAGTGCCAATCACATTCAWACACTGATGGGACACACATCAGAGGCATTAGGGGTGAAGTGTCTCACCRAAGGACACAACAACTGAGACAGCTGGAARYGGATTGAASTGGCAACCTACCTATTCCAGCACAACTCCCCTAACCACTGCCACAGCAACAAAGTAAAGTGCTTTTGCTCTAGAATTTATAGAAACCTAAGTTGAAGATTTTATGGGATATCAATGAAGCTCATACAGTATCATAATCATGCAACATTATTTGATAATATAATTACAATTAAAAATGCTCCTCCCAGCCTGGTCATGGTTGTACATTTGTATTTAAAAAAAAAAAGAAAATTGAATTTGCACCTCCAAATCTGAGTCCATGGTCATCAGTCAGAAAAGGGTGGATTTCTCTCTCCAGGTTTGGGGTGAGGTTCTGCCTCAAGTGGAGGAGTTCATGTATCTTGGTGATTTGTTCACAAGTGAGGGAAGAATAGAGCAGGAGACTGACAGACGGATCACAGTTTTGCAGACTCTGTACCGGTCTGCTGTGCTGAAGAGGGATCTGGGCTGTAAGGCAAAGCTCTCTGTTTACCAACCAGTTTATGTTACTACCCTCACCTATGGCCACAAACTTTGGATAGTGACCGAAACGAGTGGTGAATACAAGCGGTTGAAATGAGTTTTCTCTGCAGGGTAGCTGGACTCTCCCTTTAGTGACAGGGTGAGAAGTTCAATTATCTGGGAGGGACTCGGAAGAGAGCTGCTGCTCCTCCACATCGAGAGGATCCAGTTGAGGTGGTTCATCTGGTTAGGATTCCTCCTGGACGTCTCTCCCTAGGGAGATGATTAAGGTACAGTATGTCCAACTGGGAGGAGAACCTGGGGAAAGACCCAGGACACACTGGAGAGACTATGTCTCTCGTCTGGCCTTGGAACGCCTTGAAGTCCCCCTAGAAGAGCTGGAAGAGGTGGCTGAGGGAAGAGAGGTCCTCCCTGCTCAAGCTGCTGCCCCATGACTAGACAGATGGAAGGATGGATGGATGGATCACATTTGCTTACTTCTCTTCATATTTACAATGAAGAAAACACAAGTAATTTTGTATTTATAAATTCTTGAAGTTGTAACTTTTTAATTGTATACTC